TATATATATATATATATATATATATATGTACAAATTTGTAATAATTTTATAATTTTAATATATTAAAGATATTTATAAACATATATATTTAAATTATAAATATATATATTTATATATATTTAAAATTAAATTAAAAGTACGTTCATATATTTAAAGTATTCGATTAGTAATATTTACCAATCAATCAACATATATCAACGCATTAGCGACGTACAAGAAAATATATTTTGATTCTGTTTCCTCCCTTTTTCTTTAACATTAATCTTCAGATTTTATATTCTTTCTAAAGTAGTATATCCCTTCCACCTACTCGTTGATATTCCAAAGATAAATCAAAGAAATACGTAATCAACATTGTGATAATGGTAAGCCTAGTTATAAGCACAAGCTTGGTACGCTTACATTGATGTTACGATATTGTAATTCACACATTCATCCAAAAATTTACTTAAAAAAACGAAATTATAGCGAATTCGTGACAAAGTTAGTCCTTTACACTGGTTTGTGAAGAGGGAATGCCGTGGCGGCCGAGATCGGGGCAGCTGACCTTGCAACCACTATGATTTATGGCTGGACGAGCTAAACAGCGAGCGTCCTATCCAGGTATCCGAAAGCTCGGTCGTTCGCGTCGCATTTTCCTCGGAACACCCTGTCGATAGCTTCGCATTTCACAAGCAAAGTGTGCCTGAAAGTATTGCACACGTCATTGCCAAAAATATTTTGACTCATCAAGCCAAATACTTACCTATATTTGACTAATGATGACGAATATTATATGTAGGCTAGATTAAATATTAGATAGACTTAATATCTTATTTCATAAGAATACTATACACAGATATGCAAACACAAATAATAAATCTATATTTAATCACACTATGATTTTTACAATTTCCAAACTTATCTCTTAATAACTATCAAGAGGTTCAAAAAAAGGGACCAAATGGTTGATCGAACAGACAGAAAATTGTCCATATCCCACAAGGAACATTGTAAATTACATTTATAACCAAATGTAGATTTTTGTTATTTGCATTTATATAGACAATTGTACAGTTTGTACATATGTAATTGCATTATACGTATAAGTCGTCTTTTTTTTGGCTAGTATGTGTGCGTTATAAACGCAAACTAACTTAAAATTATTCGACGGGGCTTAGAACGATGGAACCGAGGGGGTGAATAGATAGAGTGGGGGAATCGCTATGCAGCTGCGCTGTTCACACGAAACAAGATGGCTGAAAACGTAAAGCGTGCGTGCACAGACGTCCTCCTTTTATTCTACTTTTTTTAACGTTTTAAGTGTTTTATACAGTGATAACTCTTTTCTTAAGTCCGAATGTACTGTGCTCTGTATTACAACGTAGGACGGTTTGAAGACTTTACGTATGTGAGTGCGTGGTCAAAAATATTCGAACAATACTGATGATAAGTTACCATCCGTTCCTGACTATAAATCGGCAATAAGTTCACATTGTAACGGACTTAACGGTGCAGCAATGCGAAAATAGGGCAGGATGTAAAATATTAATGTCTATCGTGCTCCGTCCAAAGACATACAATACACAATTATAAATTTACATTTGTTTTTTATTGATCACATCGATTTCTTTATTATTTTATTTATTACCACTTTAACGACTGGTCTCGAATATTCTTATTCGTTGTTTAGATACTGCGGCTCGTAGCGCAATAAGTGCCAAGAAACTGATTTGTTCATGTTAACATGTACACCGATGAAAAAGTTCCTGACACATCTGATTCTTTTCATCTTTTGTTTTTATTTTGAAACTGAAGAGCAAGAAAGAGTGCCTTTCTATTTATATAATTACATGTACAGTTGGACTTCACACTTGCAAAAGATGATAAGAATCAGTGAAAGATAGATGATGTAAGAGAAAAAGAGGAAGTTAAATGTAATCGTTAAAGAGATTGAAATTTTAATAAAAATATAATAATGAATACAGTGTTCTTGTCAGTGTTTCTCTGTAGCAAATAAGAATAACAATTACAACAACGAAATAGTAATAAATTGAAAAAATAATGAAAGAAAATTACACATGTTGCAGGAAAATGGATGAATTTATGTATTCGTGTGTCTTTGCGCACGCGTGTGAATGTCAAGTTAAAGTTTAATTTTCCTTAAGAGTTTAAACACTGCGACAAATCTGCATAAGTTATATTAGGAGGCATTCTTTCGGCTAAACCAAAGAACTTACAAAGAAGATGGGCTATTCACGAAATAATCAGAGATTTGGACGATGGAAATGGAAAAGAGAAGGGCAAAGAATGGAAACAGGAGGTGAGAAAGGTTTGTATGGCAATGTGTAGGTAAACCTACATTGCAGAACGCACCCCCAGGACGGATGGCGGCAACGAGAGTGAACCCCGAGTTTGTAGGGGTTGGACGAAGAGAGCGAGGGTCGATATTGTGCTTGACAGATAGTTTCCCATAGCTCCGACAATCCATCATGGCCGGCACGCGGATACGTATTGGTTTTTGTGCAACGCATCTTAGCTGTGAACCTCAAATTGAATATATTCTTTCTCTGCCTTTTGCGTAAAATTTGCTTCTAAACGTTGCGAAATTTTAGGGCAAAATGAACACATACAATTATGACGAGATAAGTTAACATAAATTAACATATCGGTTGTTAATTTACAAATGATATAAGTCTATTTTGCGGTGTTCTTACAAAACACATTTTATTTACTTCGAAGTGACACGTTTGTTATATTTATATAATTTATGTTTCTATTAAGTGTCTATTATGTTTTCTATTAAGAAGATATTTTCTTTTGTTCCTATTACAAAACAATTCTACCGTTTCTTTTGTATTTATGTGCCAAAAATACAAATTAATGTACATATAAATCGCCGGTTTTCTCGATAAAACTTGCTGATTTTTAAAATTTATTTTCCATCACACAACGTAATTAATTTAATTATATTAAATTTTATACACAGGCCTCCCCTCATAAATCCACCCACGATGTTGATGCAAAAGCAATACAGCGATTCATTACTGCCCAACTTGAACAGACATTAGAATTCTTACTATTCAATTAATTTCTTTATGACGTCATATCGTTAATTCAGAGTTACTTTGAAAGTTGAACGGATGATTCAAATCATTCTCTTTGTGTATAATTGCAACCTAATTCCAATGATAATAATTACTTCGACGGAGTCGTCGAACCGTTGACACCGGATGGATGATGGTGGGGCAGATTATGGCAGTGGAAAGGGGGAAGAGAACGGAAAGGCGGGGTGCATAAACCATACCGCAAGTTAGCGAGAGAAAGCATAACAGATACACGTGTCTTGGCGGCTCCGCTTTGCGACACATGATTCATGGAGGTCTTGATACGTTTTTTACACCTGCGACGGCTTTATTAGAATTTCTAATGGAAGGGTCCACGATGAAGAGTGACATGAGACCTCGAGACAATGCACTTCTCGAATCGACTGAAATAGGCCGATCAAAATCTCACTTTTTGCCGCATTATCGGATATCAATTGAATTAAGTCCAATTACGTTGATCTTTTCGTGTAATCGAGTAAAGTTAATTTGACTATCAAACAAATCTGCGTGAGATACGTGATAAAATTTTATGTAGCTTTTACATGCGCCGCCTTTCTCTCACGTAGCTTTCTACACATAATTCTGACAATAGAACTTTTTCTAATCTCTGTTATTTTTCTAGTCGTAACGACAAAATGATGAAATAAATTTGTTATAATCAGAATGCGTGTGGGTATTTTTATATCCAGAAATATACCAATCCAATTTTTCCTTTGTAAGTAGGAGAAAATGGGAGATGAAGGAAGAGAATCGAAGAGTAAGTTAAAAAATAAAAGAGAATAAGACAGAATCGTTAAGTCACAAAATATGAAGGTATCGAAGTAAAATTATAAATAAAACGAGCTTGTAGTATCATAATAAATCAGGAAGAGGCGAAGAAAGAGCACGCTGCAAGCTAGTCTCCCATTTGTAAATAAACAGTTTTGCGAACGTGAAAACGAAGAAATGTGTTTTCTCATTGAAAATCGGCGAAATAACGTTTCAGCTCGTTTCGCGTTTGGCCGGGTCGCATTTCTTCATGAATCGTGTGAAAGAAGAATACAAGACCGAAGATATGATTTGGACTAAACAATTACTCGGGTACTCATCTGCTACTCGAAATATCACAAATTTCTTGCGCAAAGAATTGAATAGTTACCAAGGCGCGGTTCCGAGACTGCTATACGGCCGTTTCGCTGACACAAATCTGCAAAACGCATTCGGTCACTCGAATTAACACACACGCAAATCCGCAAACACGTCCGCTCGTCGCGGACTCGGAAGGAGAAAAGAGCCGAGCGGTTGGACTAGAATGCTCGCTAGAACTAACTGTAACGTTAGAAAAGCCATCGGACGCATGATACTTCGCCGTGTGTACATTTCGCACACCTCTATCTGCCAAGTCCTAACTTATTTACCCCACGACAACGAGCAACAATAATTCTCTAGTCTGCAAGCGGCCTATCTAAAGACCGACAAATTTCAGTACACACGTATTTATTTACGCGCGCACGCACGGAAATATTAGTCGTATAAATGATAGAGGTAACACGGGTATTCAGGTGATCACGGTAGCAGTACCCGCCGGGTACCCGGGTATCAGCCGCGTATTTCGGGTAGTGAGCGAGAGTATCCGGGCACCCGGGGTACCCAGGTATCATTAGCTTTATTAGAATGATGTAGATATAGGACAAACTAGGCGAACTCTCTGAAGTGGCGAATGTCCATGGAAATGGTNGGGGGGGGGGGGGGGACACCGGTGGCGGCAGTACGTACGTACACAGATGCGACGACTCAAAGTGGAAGAGATAGCCAGTTTCGTCTGGAGCGGAGGGGGAAGACGATTAGATGGTGGGGAGGAGAAGAGGAAAGGGTAGGACGGCCGAGGGCGGGCGCGCGCCACAATTCAACGGGAACGGCCGCACTCACCACATCTGGCGAGCAACTGCCACACTATCGGCTCTCTATTCAAAACGCTTGTTCCTATTCTCGAAATGATTAGCGCCGTGAAATCGAGAGAGCGATGCGCGCGAACCGGGAAATCCAATGGCAATGGGAGACGAGGATGACGGGCGGATCAGTGGCTTTGCGATCGCACGTGTTAAATAAATACGAGAGACAAGTGTGTCTCATATTCGCGAGAGAGAGAGAGAGAGAGAGTAGAAATTTCAACGGGGATAATACGTGATATAATGACGAGGGGGAAATTTGTGGCGCGCGGAGTGAAAATTTCGGCGAGAAATACAACGCGTGGTTGAGGGAAATTTGGCGAAACGCAAAGGAACTCGTTGAAAATCTTATCCGCGAGAAGCAAAGAGAGAGAGAGCTCCGCCTCCTCAGTCGTCCCCTCCGCCGCCACGTCGCTATCCCGAAGTGCCCCCCGTTTGACCAACTGGCTACTACGTCACACATGCTTCTGCTCGGAGCCGCCAACTCCGAAGCCTCTCCTCTCGGCCGGCTCAGTCGGTTCAGTAAGTTACGAGTTGCGTTCGGGCTCGCCGTACGGGCGATAACGGGGGCGTCAATCAAATCGCGATTGGGAGAGGATTCCACCTCGTGCACACTCTCCTTTTCCTCGTCTTTCTCGACTACAGGCAACAGGTTTGAATTTATGGGACAATAAAGAGTGCGGTGCGTAGTGTGCGTGTCTCTCTCTTTTTTTCTCTCTCTCTTTACGCCTTTCTTTCCTGCTCTAGGCCGCTCTTTCTCTCGTCTAGACATCCTGTCCTTTCGTCGCGGAGGAGAGGAACGAACGGCGAAGACTATCAAACTCTCATAAAACTGTCAGCCGCGACCGCCGGGGCTGACTTATGTGCGCCCCTTCTTCAGCCGCACACGTTCGCCGACCTGTACTTCTCGCGCAACGATCACGATCCCATTACGGATCTTTTAACGAGAGAGATCAGACGAGACACTCCGCCGGTGAGAAGCGAACGACGCGCGGGATGACGATTCACGCCCGGTGAGAGAGAGAAAGAGAGAGAGAGATGTTAACGGTCGTCGATCGGTAATAATAAGGAACAATCACGCTTCCTCCGCGTGTACCACACCTCTTCTTTTTCATCCGCCACGAGGCCGGGCTATACAGTAGGGGGCGCGTGCGCGCGTAGCCCCCCTCGCAAAAGCGGACGGAAGACTGCTTCTCGGTGACATCGCGCGGCTGGAAGGCTGCAGAGGAGAACGAGAGAGCGATCGAGATACTTCTCTTCTCCCCCCCCTCCCCACCACCAACGGTTTCAGGGCTCCCGAATATCTCTCCATTAGCCCCCCTGATGGTGCTATCCCCTCTCCTTGACCCCTCTCTCGCCCTCTTTCTCTCTCTCTGGCGTGCACCCCTCTCATCGGTTCCTGTCACGTCGGGTAGCAGCCAGGCAACACCACCACACGACGGGCGCCAGCGGCAGCGGAGACTCGACGGAGACGCAAGAAAACGGGGTTGAAGAATCCTACGCCGGCGGAGAGACCAATCAAGGTTTGACGAACGGCGGGGATTGGTCGAGGCGCTCCTCTGACACGCAGAGAGCGCGGGCACGTGACAAGCTACCGCACACACCGGCCCTCCGTTGGATCGTGGCGAGGCCTTCAGTACGATACCAACCACCCTTCGCGCACGCAACAGGAACGGCGAACCGCGCGCGCGATACTCCTCACCCTCCGTGACACGAGAGAGAGTATGAGCCTCGCGATACGAGTCTGTCGAGTGCAACAACGACACACCTGTGACAAGAACGCCGCGTGAAATAATCATTCTCGATGCAACCGTGTTAACCGTGACGTTATGTTTTATTGAGGCGGGGACTTTATGAGGTCATCTTCAATGGAGCGCCTCGATAAGCCGGTCGTTACGCGCTACTGCACAGTGGGTCCACGCATTCTCCGTAGGTAATCGCGACTCCTCCGTGAGGTCGTAAAGAAGCGGAAGACAGTTTTATAGCCCAGGCCCACGTGGCCCTCGTAAACTTGACTCGCAGGTCGGCTCAGACCCGCCTGCCGTCTGCCTCTCTCTCTCTCTCTATTAGCTCCTGGGAACCCCTCGTTCATTATCGAATCGTTTAAGAGACGTGTTTCGTACGCGTGTAACAGGTCGTGATACTTGTGAAACGTTCGCGGGAGTGTCGCGCGAGGGAGAGAGAGAGAGAGAGAGTCACGATGACGCGATTCTATACTTAATGACGGCGCCCGTTGTTCCATCGTCTCGGCCAATCGAGACCGCTACGCAGTTGGTGTTATCGTGAATGACGGCGCGTAGACGCGTGGAGAGATCGGTACAGTGAGAGAGAGAGAGAGAGAGAGATCTCGACGACGTCGGGTGAGAGGGTACGTGAAGAATGAGTTCCTATCAGTTCGTCAACTCGCTCGCATCATGCTACGCGGGTCAACAGCCACAGCAGCAGCCGAGACCGACACCGAATTCGCCTGGCGAACCGATGCAGGCCGCGTCGCCGGCCGGTGGAGACTATTACAACCCGAACGCGGCGTCCACCAGCTATCCCGCGCCCTGTTACTCACCTCAGCAGCATTATCCGCAGCATCCTTACGCCACTCCCGCGTCCGGTATGCAGCACACCGCACCGACCGGGATGATAGACTATACCCAGCTGCAACCGCAGCCACGGCTGAGCGCGACTGCGACGTCACAGCAGCAGCACGGTATTCACGCTCAGCAATCGCAGCACCACCAGCAGCATCATCCCCAGCAGCAGCTCCACGCGGACCCGACGACGCCCCTGCTGCAGGCCGGCGCGGCACCGTCAGCGCCGTCAACGTCCAGCTGCAAGTATGCTGATTCGACCTCCTCCACCAGCGTGGCGTCCCCCCAAGATCTGACCACGTCCACCTCGAGGAACAGTCCGACGCCCTTGGTGGCGCCCGGAACGAGTAAAGCCGGATCAGGACTGACTTCGCCGCCTGGTAGCTCGTCAAGGTCGTCCGTCGCCGCTTCCGCCGCTTCACCCCCCAGTGGTAGTTCGAGAGGTGTCGGCGAGGGAAACTCGACGCTGACGACGGCGTCTTCCGCATCGTCACCCGCTTCCTCCACGTCCAGCACCTCCAGCACCGGCAACAACTCGTCCAACAAGGGGAACGCCTCCGGTAGCAACCCGCCTCAAATATACCCGTGGATGAAGAGAGTTCACATTGGCCAGAGTAAGTCCGTCCATCCTTTTCGATCCTCTTGTTGTCTCAAATAGACAGGTTTTCTTTTTAATTCACGCCTTTTACAAATTCCGCGCTTCCCGCTTCGTTCTTCGATTTTTCGAAGATCAAGGAACTGCAATGAGAGAAGAAAAAATCGACGAAATTTTCCTTGAAACGGACGTCAGTTTTTAGTCAACGCAATTTCACAACTATATCAACGCGATGTATTGTTGCGTCAACGCGTAATTTGCTCGGTGAACATATGACATTTTTTTTAACGTGATCCTTGATTTTGTAGATTCAATCGTTTTTTTTTTTCTCAACGCAGCTCTTTTAATCTCTCTCGCCGATACGAGGATACGTAGGACTGCGAGAATTGATGGGGCATAAATTATTTAGTCACATGTGATATATATTTAATTAATGATTTAATTCTACAGCTCGCGCGATGCATACATAGGTGTGTGTGTGTGTGTGTGTGTAATATTATTAATAGTAAGGATTTCACACATTTTTAAGCTTTGCGTTACGATTTGCGTGTTTAGAAACAGCTAACGTGCTAATCGCATAAAATTATCATTGTAACATTCAGCATGTCATTCGTACATTCGACGGAATAAAGATGCTAAATCACAGCTGAAATATACGATTCTGTTGGAAATTTAACTAATTTTAATAATGGCAATCTCTCTTTCTCTCTCTTCTCCTCTCATATATCAAATCACACGTTTCAACGGTATAAGCAGGAATATTTAAGTTCCGACACTTTCGAAACGTATCATGTCTGTTTCGGAGAGCAAATCTTGATTTGTAAGTAGATACTCATCCTCGAGATGTCACATTTCAAATGCAGCGACGTTAATCTGCGTCACGCATCTTTGTGTAATGTAACTTTTGCGCAAAGAGTTTAGAAAAAATTACGGGAAGACACATTACTTTATAAATAAGTTGGGCACTGTAGCGACTATACAATGTCTAAAATCAGACATTGTATAAAAGTGTAGCTGGAAACAATCAATAAACCGTGCTACCTGACGGTGAGAAATAGAAAAGAGAGACAGGGAGGTGAGGGAGGGAGAAAGGGAGAAGAGATGCCGATTGTATAAAATTCAAAATTATACCGCGAATTTTTGTACTCGTATCGGTAACCGTGCTGGAAAGAATTCTTTAAAAGTCCTAAGATTATACATTACGCGCAATGTGTGTTCTCATTGACGTAAAAAGATGCGAACCACCACATTATCGCGCGATAATTATTCACAAAACGGCCGGACGAGAAGTGCGAGTCGGCAACGCGACGTTCTAGCGCGCAATATCGTCGTCGCTCTTCTTCCTCGGCGAGGAAGAAACGCGAGAGAGGGACAAAAGACAAAATGGGAAACGAGAGGAAACAAAGAGCATACGGTTTATGACAGCACTCCGGGCCGGGCAAACAGGCGATTACATAAAGGGCGATATCTCTCGCGCGCAAATGCTCAATAAGCGAAACCGCCGTCACGAGCCGCGCGGTCCCATATCGGAGATCGGCGGTCAACGCGGAAACGAGAGCGATTCGAGAACCGTAGTCGAAAAAGTAGTGTGTTAGGGGAGGGGGTGCGGCCAGAATAGGTAACAGTAATTCAGCGGAGGCCCAAGACTGGATCCACCTGCCCCCGCGGTTCAAAGAAGATAAGACAGCGAGCGCTGGTCATGCTCACATTAGTCGCCCCGTGTGATTTACTGCGCGGCCAGTATGATTCAGTCAGCGGGGAATTTGACGAAGAATTAATGGTATTATGATATCGTGTGTAACTCTATGTATGTGCGCCCGGGCCATAAATCAGGCTGCATTGTAAGGCGCGGGGGGTTGCCCTCTCTTTCGCTCGTCCAGTTCTCTCTCGGCTTAGCTCGAACGAAGGTCTCAGACCGTCCGGCCCCCAAACGGGATATACGCGCAGCTAAAGTCTTTCTTGTACATGTTTCGGCTTCCTCTCTCGATGCCCTCGCATCATGCCTGCCTGGCTAATGTAGCATCCTTTCACCTCGTCTCGTAGCATCTTGCGTGCGACTATTTCGCGTACGTTGCCTCGTTCTCGCGACGAAGAAGCGAGAATAGGCCGCTGTCCGATAGCGATTATCGCGTATGGGCTTGCTGAAATTAAGATACTTATTCGTCGGACGGATATTTATTGCGCGATGGTCCTGAAACAAATCTGCAGCACCGCTCGCGCAGTCACGAGCGATACGATTGCGGACACCCTGCGACCGAAGTTGGCGATACCGCGAATCGACATTCGCGAGAGATTTCCTCAACGGCGATGCGAGATATCGCCGGTGTGTTATAATTGATGCTGTGTAATAGCGCCGATGATTGAGCAATCCGGCGATTGTTCTTGTATATTCGCACGGATAAATGCGCGCGGAAATTCCACGAAAACCGTTCGAGCGGAGCGATGCTGCATCGGCTGCCTAACAGGTCACTTAGAAACGAAAATAGACAGTCCGCATTCACGTTGAAGAGAGAAAAATCGTTGATTTACCGAGAGTGTAATGTTCCACCAACACGGGGGGACGTTTCGTTTACCAGCCGACGCTGACGCTTTTGAAATCAGTATCGGTGCACGGAATGTTTGAGCATCGAGGATTCGAGCAAACAAACCATTCATTAAGATCTGAAAGAACGAATAAGAGTATTTATGCTTTGCGCTCAAAATAACATATCGCACGTAACTTCGCACTCTTCGCTTCGGCGGAAAAAGAAAAGGAGAAGGATCATTTCGATAGATGTGTCCGAGCGTGCACGATTATTATCCACGTATTCTTATTGCATTAGAAATTTGCAGCGATTCGTCGAATCGTCAATGATTGTTCTGAAGTCAGAGTCATTTTTAAACGCGGAATCAGACAATTAGCCGAATGATGGCAAAAGTGACGCACAATGACGGCAGATGCTTTGGTCGAACATGACATTTACTGTTTCGTTGTTATTGTTAACAAAAGAAATGCAGGTACAAGTCCGACGGACTTTCGCAGCTCCTAATATTATTCCGCGATATTTTATAAAACTCCTTGCCGAATATAATCTTTGTAGCAACAATATTTTAACACTAAAATCACGGCAATTTAGATTCTTCCTAGAACCGCGGATGGAAGTAACTTTTGACCAACCTTCTTTTTTGTAATTATCCATAGGCTTTTTTACAATTTTATAATATTTTTAGTTGTTTTGTGATAAAGAAGGCTTACACCTTAGTGATGAAAATCCAAAGAAATGAGAACGATGAATCTACAATCGGTCAGAAATGAGCCGTACAGTTTTAGTGTTAATATATACGCTTTACAAATAATAGTATAGCTATTTCGCCAGAAAACCGCCGCTTAACACGTAAATAATCCGGAGAATAAGAAGAATATATTTCAAGTGGTGGCTAGATGATGAAGTAAGTGGAGAAAGGTGATTTTATCAATAGAAGATACAATCACCGATCATTCTGCTGTAAATGCAATTACTGCGCATAAAAACATACCATTGAATCAATATAATTTCCAATAGCGCGCGTAATTCGCGTAAATCTCCTTGATTCAATAGCGATATCGCTGAAACTAATATTTTAATTAATGAAACAATACAATAACACAGTAGTTTTAAGGATATTTGTCATTGAATCAAGAAAGTTTGTTCCAATTACGCTACTGTTGGAAATCTCAGTGATTCAGTAGCATCTTTCCCGTTTGCAAATGGTACGCAAGATTATGGGCTTTCTTTAATTCGCAAGAAGAGCAATCGGACATTGCAATCTGTAATTCCTTGAATTTCTCAATTTTCGAGTGTCTACTACCAATAATATTCACCTTCGATATAGTCTTAGATAATATAATAATAATTTCTCCCCTCCCTTCCTCTTCGCTCTCATTTACGCTATTTTTGTGAACTATATAAGTAGCTCGGAATATGCCCTTGCTGTCGGCAAAATTACAGGTGTCGTACACACACGCGGATAATCCTTGAGATAAGTGCTGAATCTGAGTTCGAGATAACAAGCCATCGTCCGATGAGCAGTGAACGCGAAATAAACATGCAATTGGCGTGTGAAATGAACAGTTCCGCGATGTTTCATTTCCTTGTAATATCGACCTGCGAGCATGCGAGTAGGCTATAGTCCTCGTTTAGGTAAGCAGAAGGTCGTTTTCGTCATGGAGTCTATAATTAAGCGCCGATTATTCCGCCATAAATAAGGATGTGCAAAGTGCCGCGAGGAAAGGCACATTTCTGTGCCCCGATTAACGACGAGGCTCTGGCTACCAGCACGATTCTCGACATATGAATCCCCTTTCAGGATGATTCTCGCGGACTGAAAGACTAGAGAGACATAGTCGAGGGAACGAGTGGAACTGGATTTTGCCTTAATGCCTTTCACACATTTAATCACGTCATAAATATGCGATGTGTGGTTGGACGCGAAGCTTTTTGTCAACAGGCACAAAAGTAATTCGAACAAACTGCGGCGCATTGTGTCGAGTTGTTTTTTTTTTCTTTCTCATCACCACGTTATTAGACTAACTTGTAACAGTTGTATCCGTAGGCAAAGCTTCGTGTAAAAATTTGCATGAATAGCGAAGAAATAATTGTGCCGTTTGTTAAGCCCGATATGTTGGATTTTGATTTCGTGCCGATAAAACAAGTCTAGCACTCCAAACAAACATGTGTGCATATTTATACACATATATATATATATATATATATTTACACGTACAATTATGACGAACTAAGAGGAGAAGGAGATACGAGGACGCGCGGCAAAGAACTGGTTTTACTAACCACATAGCATACTGCATTTTTTTACGTCGACTGAAATCTTTTTATTACGAAACGTTTAATCAATCCGCGCCACATGCACGGCTGTTCTAGGGACATTATGAGATTAACAAGATGCGAAATTTTACGCCAACGTCCAAAAACAATTTAACCGTCTATAGTAATGTAATATTTCTTCACTTTGGAAAATACATATTCAACATACCTTTCTTCA